GTTTCGACTGCTCCGCACTGTCCTAAGCTGGGATGACGTCACCTCGCTAGGTATTCTAAATCAGCATCGGTCGTCGATGATCTCCACATATATGAATGATATTGACATCAATTAATGTAGAAAACAAGATTTCTTTTTTATATAAGGGTTATGTTTGGAAGACTGTCAAAGCCTGGATCTTCCACACAGGCAATGGAGAGAACAGAATGGAAAATAATAATAATAAACTTATAATCTGAAAACTTTAGATTAGTTTTTAATGTTTTACAGTTTATCTTAGTTTATCTTTGTAGTGGATTTTCTCAGCAAGTGTAGAAACTAGAAGAATGTGTAAAAAATTAGATTTTGTAATTTTTACAGAATTTATTTTATTAAATTTAAAAATGCCAGAACAAGACTTTGTGTTGTTTAAAATGTTTTTGTAATTCGAAGTATAGGTCTGTGACCAGTGGTTGTAAATAGTGGTCTGATAAGGACTTTTGTAGACAGGGTATATCAGTACAACGTTGACAAACCTTCAGGAGAGATAGAGTACACCTAGACGATGGGAAATCGCACGGGAATGCATGTTCCTGGTATGGTAGTGATGACATCTACAGCAGAAACCTACAAATAGTAGTACAGCAGAAACCTACAAGTAGAACAAAAATAAACACCATTCATCATTAAAGAAGGTGTTCGAAATTACAACCGCAGACCGTAATGCAAGCTTCACATCTCTGCATGAAAGTTCTGCATCATGAATAGAAGATGCATGAAGCGCGGTTCCTGCATCAGGGTCAGGGTCGTAATTTCAAACACATTCTTTGATGATGATCGTTGTCTCTATATGTTATTTTTTTCTCTCTTTTACTTGTACTCTGAATAATAAGTATGTTCTCTCACCCTGTTCATGTCCTTTCTTTCTTGACTTTTGTGTCGTCACTACCAGGCCAGGAAAGCGTTTCCGGCCATGCATTACTATGTAATTTCCCATCGTCTTGGTGTACCCTATCTCTCCTGAAAGTTTGTCAATACTGTACTGAAACATCTTGTATATGTATTTGAGGGGGAAAAAATATTAAGCTGCATTTTATAAAAATGGCAGATACCAGTAGTTCTGAAACTTTCCATAAATTATACCTTTTGTCATGATTAAGTATCTTAATACCTTCAAGATAAAATTTCTCCAAAAGGTTACAAAACATAACAATCTGGGGATTACAACCAAAATATTACAACCTGGCAATCTTCAATGGCAGCTGTAACTATTTAAAAAACATTTGTGTTAAAATATCTCATAATATGTATCTAATACGTTAAAATATCAAGTAGCATCATGGTGGGTTAATAAAATAAGAAATTTAATCTTTAATTATAAAAATCTAGAAAAATATACTGTGGTTTTTTTTTTTTTTTTTTTTTTTTTTTTTTTTTTTTTTAAAATAATTTCTTCAAAAAGGACAAAAGTTGAAATGTTCATTAAGGTTCCCAAATGTAAATTTAAGTAAAATTTTTAATCGGAATTTTCAAGTTGAAAGTATGTAAATCTTGATAGTCTGCAAGGAAAGTATCCCTAGTAGCTTGACAGAGTTTTCTTACATTTTATTATCTAGTAGAGGAACAGCTTTAAATTTTACCTGTTGTAGTACTTATTTTTTAGGTACATGTATTATTTGCATGAAGAAGTATTCTTGCACGAGTAGTGCAAATACTGTGAAAAAGCAAAAATCGGGACGTGAACTGCAATTTGAGGAAAAAATTTTGGCAAGAACTTACTTTTCCTTTTCTGTAAAACTAAAAGGGGAAAAAAAGTTTTTTTTCTTTTGACAGCTACTAGCATTCAGATATGTACCATGGCATGAGATCTTGTAGCCTATCAATTATTTAAAACGAAATTTTCTCTGTCTGCTATTATTATGATTATATGCTGAACATTTTTAAACAAATCTCATTTTATCATCTAAATATAAGAGAATAAAAAATGTAAAGGTTAATGTCACATAACATCTTCATTTGCAGTGATTTCGAAGAATTAATGATATCATTTTGGATACTTTATAGTACCCTCACTGAAAAATTTGCAAAAACATTTATGAGGCTAAGCAGTATGTCACTAAAATAGTTATGTCACAACCGATAGTATTGAAAGAGTTTTAATGTAGCAACTCAGTATGCCTGCAGCACATGTCAGTTTTGTCTGTTGTGCAATACTGAGTTTGTGCAATTCTCTGATATTGTTTCAGGTGAAAACAGATGGCTGTGTACATGGGGCGAGCAATGGTGCAAAAAAGTATTTCTTGAAAAAGGTAACTGTTTTATTACTGGTATTTTTCTTCTTTTTTCAATTTTATTAATTACTCTTTTACAGAATTTTTGGCATGCTGCTATTTTAAAAATTTCTGTTGCCTTGCTTGCCTTAGTTTGGTGAAAAATTAATAGCCCACAAGTTTGCAAATACTCTGCAAGTTCACTAATGAGTTTGTGACTTTATGTGGAGGGGTTCCAGAAAGTAAACACTGAAAAAGAGTAAAGTATTGAAAAATCAAAAACATGAATTAGCAACAAATGGTATGTGGAAGGTAAAAGTATATCAGGCCGTGGCAACACCTTTCTTTTAAATCAAAAACTTTGAAAGATAAATACCTTTGCTGCATGGCAACATCTAGCTTTCAACTTGCCGAGTTTCTGTTTAAAAACATCAATGTCTTATGCTCTGCAAGTGACAACACATTGCTTTTTAAGCAGAGTGCGTTAATCAAGACTTCATTAAATTTACATGTAATATGAAAGAAATAAAAAATTCTGAATGTAAAATTCTGTCTTTTAGGTGTGTATTTTCAGCTTAGATGGCTAAGTGCTGCCTTGTTTTCTTCAGTGCAAGGAACATATAGATATTTCTAGGTATATATAACATATAGGTATTTTTTTTTATCTGGCAAGTCGGTTCATTTGCTACAGATTACATAGGTACATCACATTAGATACTGATTTGCAATCCTTCTCAGTATTTATTCAAAATTTCATAACCATAGTAATAATGATTATATACATAGTTGGTAAAGATTTAAAGTAAGAATCTTGCTTTATCATTCAGGTTCTCTAATTACTTGTGTTGTGAAACTGATTAGTTGTACCTTACAAAGATAAAAAAACAAATAACTTCATTTGATGTACGAGACACAGATGGCGTTGGCTGTCATTGAAGTAGGAAGAGAAAAAGGGTTTTTCCCTTTCGACCTTGTGACGTGAGCCGATTAAGATGTGTAATAATTTTAGGGGCTAGAAAAATTTCCTGAAAATTGTTAAATAATGTATACAGTCAAAAGTTGTTAATTCGGACACCCATAATCCGGACCTCAAAGCTACAAACTTTCTGCGCATGCATCGCATTGACGCACGCACGCAAGACCTTTACGGCTGTGAATATGCTTGTACGCATGCGCATAATACTTTTATGCATGCGCGTTTAATGTATAACGGATGGTATAAGCTAAGTTAAAGTTATCTAATTCAATTAATGTTGCAGATTTCGTTGTTCCTTAATCTTCGAATTGGATCCAGCTTATTATTTTTTGCAGACTGTTAGAGCAATTTTATAAAAGTAAACTTGAACTTTCGATTATGTCAAATAGAATTTCCGATATATATTTACTAATATTTAAAGGATCTACAAAGCGAAAGTATGTTTCGAAGTCCATTAAACAAAAAGTGGAATTGCTGCAAAAAATGGATAAAGGCATAGCCTTTGTTTCTCTAAGCATTCCGAAATCTGTTTATCAATTTCACGCTGCTCTGTGGTGGTGGGGGGACGCCGAGGCACGCAATGAATTGGAAGTTGATCTGTCAGCACTATCCTTATCTTCAGGGCAGATGTTTTTCTTCTTTTATTTGGCTTATAATTCCTTACTAAATGTAGTATTTCATCTCGATGTACTCCGTCTTTGATATGATTTAAATCAAATTCCTCGTCATTATAATTCGCTTCCAATAGTGAAGAAAGTGACACAGAGGTTAGTGAAAACGAAAAAATTTCGATTGACAAATTAGTCGGTATTCTCGACACAACAATTATAGGACTTGAACAGCGGAACTTTGTAACTGAACAAGAAATAATGTCTGTTTATAGAATTAAAGAGAAAGTATTATCGCATAAAACAAAGCAACTTAAACAACTTACATTAAAAGAAATGTTTAATAAAGTAAACAAATAAATATTAAGCTTTTTTTTGTAACTTTTGATACCTTTTAGATCATAACTGTTCTTTATTTCATAAATTATGGTTCATATTTTTAATTTTATAATTTCTGCATGCCATCTTACCAGATTTAAAGTGATGATCTATAATCCGGAATCGCCGAAGTCCTGACGAGTCCGGATTAACGACTTTTGACTGTATATTTTGTAGTGTAGATAGAATATAATTAGATAAATCAACTTCTTAGAGTTTTTATTCGGATTCAACATTACACTACCAGGTAAATAAGCAAGTTTTGTCTTTAGTTTTTCTGGATTGCTCGGTATCTGGGATGAGTGAAGGAAGTATTTTTATTTTAATGATATTTAATGATAAGACTATGTTTTAGTAATAACAACTTGCTTTGAAAGAATACTTTTGTTTATTACCCGTATCAAACCAATTAATTTACTAGAGCTTACATGGGTACAGTACAGGTAAACATTGCTGCTAGCAACTGCCTTTAACATTCCTTCTTGCCAATTTCTGTGTTTATTTCCAAGCTTTAATTAAACAAATTATTGTATAATTAATATTCAACCTAAACGACAAAAAGTAATAAAATCTGTAATGGTTAAATTTGGATCAGGCTCTACTGTAATTTAGAGAAAATTGAGATTTTGCTACATAAATAATTTTTATGATATTTTTCTAACTAACTACATAATAGTTAATGTTGTAAAAGTAGGAAGAGGGATTTTTAGTGGCTGTGTGACTGTATAATAATATTTCTGTGCTGAGATGATGAAAAAAGTTATTATTATTATTATTTTTTTCTTTTAGGTATGCATCCAGGTACAAGACTGAGAAAATGTAAGTACTAATAATTTAATTCTGCAGTTGTGTTTTGCATCATTTGATTAATACTTGCTTAAAGGTTGCATTTCATTGCATAAAGAAGATTCATTATGCTTTATATTATGATATTATATCCATGAATTTTATTTAAATACTTTTTTTCTTAACCATGAGTAAATTTGAGCCAATGTTCTCCAGTCTATTGAATAAGTATTAAATTTTCATTTGATATACAATGTGCAAATAATCTCTGTATATCATGATTGTTAGGTTTCTCAAAAGTTATTGTTAGGTTTTGTATTGTGCAAATTTGTAACTAATCATTATACAAATATATTATACAAATTTGTAAAATAAATAAATCTCAAGAGCTAACAAAATTATACTAATCATGTAATCATCTGAAAGGAGTGAGGGAACCTATCTTTGCTGAAGTTTGCAATCTTACATTAAAGTCAACAGCTCACATTTGATTACAGATATCTGAATGAATGCTGCACTTGTCCACGAAGTTTTAATTTTTGCATGCTGAAATGAACTGTTAGAAGATGAAGACCATCAGTATTTTGGGGAATGTTCATAAAATCTTTTCATTTTCTGAAACTAAAAATCCCAGACTAGTGCAACTTTTGTGGTTAGTCTTTCTCTACATATGTCCAGTTAAAGGTCGTATTTTTCTCTAAACTACAGGTAAACTGTTGGAACCCTTGTTTGAGTAAGTCCTTTATTTAACTGTTTGGGAAACTATTTCAATGAAAAATAAACTTTCCCATCTCTTGAACATGGTATGTTATGTGTGAAGCAGCTTCTTCACATCAGGAAGAAACCATTTGGTGCAGATTAGATGAATAAGCTTGATGAGGAGCATTTTCTCTCCAAGGCTGGCAGCAAGAATGAGTTTTAAACACTGAATGAACCGGGGCATAGTTATGCAGCAAATTGGAATTTCGGGTAGTTTACTATGCCTTTTGGTCAGTGTAGCATCTTATGATTTTTTTCAACAGGTTTCTGCAGCATGATCTTATCACTGCTTGACCTTTCTGGAACAAGGCCCAACAGCGGCCAATGATAAAGTCGCTGAACACTGGCAGTTTGGTCTGTGGTTCAGAATGTATATGAGCCAGTTCCCCTAGAAAGTCATCCTGGGAGGTATCCTTTCTTTTAAACAGGTAACCCTTGTGTGTGTTACCATAACCAAAACCTAAACCAAACCTTTCTAAAACAATGAGTCAGCTGAGTGATAGTCCCAAAAAGTACTGAACACCACCTTTCTGTATCTTGGCTTTATGCAATATTGTTGGCTGTGGTGGTTGTAGTGATAAACCCAGCTTTCACTCAGTATGATAGAATCAGGACAAAATCATCAGCTTAATATAGATTCAAAGAAGGTGCTTCCATGTCATTCTAAAATAACATGAAAAAGTCATGATAATCTTTGACATGTGGAAAACCTTATGTGAGATGTTGTGAAAGCAGTGTTATGTTCCATGTTAACTAGAAAGCCCGGTGGTCATACGAAATGACCGCTGTTCTAGATATTACCCAGGCAGGCGCAAGGATGCCCCTTTGCTTACTGCCCGATGGGGTTTCCCCTTTCTACTTGCTTAATTGCTTAAAGTAGATTGCAATGAAGGAAACCACTGTTGGTGTATTTCTTAAGAGCCACCGCTAGCTCAATAAATAAAGGTTATTTAAATAATAAAATGTTAATTCACATGTCAAAAATCTCTTTGTACAGAGCATTTCTTGTGTAGATCTTTCCATCCTTTTAAGCTCGCCTTGCAGAGGACCATTAATTATTTTTAATTTTACGTCCGTTCTTTCACAAACTCTTGAACAGGCAACATAAAGTTGACCGTGTCCAAATGCAGGCTCAGGTAAAAAAAATGCCAACACGCTTAAGCCTTTGGCCTTGAGACTTACTGATGGTCATAGCAAAGGCAAGTTTCACTGGAAATTGTGTACGTCTCAATTGAAATGGCAACCCTGTGCCGTGGGAACTTCAACTCATTGGCTAGTACAGTTACGCAAGCAACCAATAAACTATCGGCGACAAACAGACACTTAAGCCGCATATAATAAAGATAGTTATTTATTTCATTTTATTTGTTTTTTCATCGCTGCTGGTTTTTGCTGGTTGAATATTTCCGAATTCTATTATATATAGATGTTAAATTTATTTATTAAATGTTAAATGCACATGCTCTTGTATTTTTAATTTTTCCGGCTCTCCTTTCTCGTAATATTTGTCATGCGCTGCACAGCACGAGGAATAAAACAATTTACAGTTATGCAAGCAACCAATAAACTATGAGCGACAAACAGATGTTAAATTTATTTATTAAATGTTACATGCACGTGCTCTTATATTTTTAATTTTTCCAGCTTAGCTTTCTCATAATACAGTCAAAAGTTGTTAATCTGGTCACCCATAATCCGGAATGATCTATAATCTGGACATTCTGCACATGTGTTAACACATAATGCGTTCAAGCATGCGCATAGGCGTTTACGCATGTGCGTAATACTTTTACACATGCGCATAATATGTTTACGCATGCACGTTTAATGTATAATAGATGGTATAAGCTAAGCTAAAATTATTTATTTCAGTTAATGTTGCAGATTGTGTTGTTCCTTTCCTTAATCTTTGAATTGGATCCGGCTTATAATTTTTTACAGACTGTTAGAGCAATTTTATAAAAGTAAGCTTAAACTTTTGATTATGTGAAATAGAATTTCTGATATATATTTACTAATATGTAAAGGATCTGCAAAGCGAAAGTATGTTTCAAAGTCCATTAAACAAAAAGTGGAATTGCTTCAAAAAATGGACAAGGGCATAATCCTTTGTTTATCTAACCATTCCGAAATCTGTTTATCAATTACACGCTGCTCTGCGACGGAGGGCGGAAACGCCGCGGTGCGCAATGAATCGGAAGTTGATCTGTCAGCACTATCCTTATCTTCAGGGCAGATGTTTTTATTTTATTTGGCTTATAATTCCTTACTAAATGTAGTATTTCATCTTGATGTACTCTGTCTTTGATATGATTTAAATCAAATTCCTCGTCATTATAATTCGCTTCCAATAGTGAAGAAAGTGACACAGAGGTTATTGAAAACGAAAAAATTTCGATTGACAAATTAGTCGGTATTCTCGACACAACAATTATAGAACTTGAACAGCGGAACTTTGTAACTGAACAAGAAATAATGTCTGTTTATAGAATTAAAGAGAAAGTATTATCGCATAAAACAAAGTAACTTAAACAACTTACATTGCAAGAAATGTTTAATAAAGTAAACAATTAAATATTAAGTTCCTTTTTTTTTTTTTTTTTTTTTTTTTTTTGTTAATTTTGATACCTTTTAGATCATAATTGTTCTTTATTTCAAAAATTACGGTTTCATATTTTTAATTTTATAATTTCTGCATGCCATCTTACCAGATTTAAACTGATGATTGATAATCCAGATTATACTTAAAGTTTTAAGAGTCGGATGTAGTTAGTGTAGTAAATATATTTTTATTATTATTATATTTTTGGATTACAAATATTTGCATTAAAGTGTTATCAGCTTTCTGTGCAGCATACTGATATTAGAAATAGTGCCCTTCTTAATATATTAAATCTTAGTATTCATTAATTAAATGTGAAATTAAAGTATATCCATATAATTTATATATTGAAAGTTTGTTAATTTTTGAGGATAAATATTATTTTGCTAAATTAGTGTTATTTTCCAGCCATTCCTCCTTTCCCAAAATGCCCTTAAATAAAGAATGGCCTGACTTTTAGCCCTTAGATTCATATTTGCATAATTTCATTCTTAATACCTCATAAGAAACAAACAAGCTTTCATTTATTCTAGTTCTTCCATCTGAATGTAACACTGTAGTAAATATTACACCATGTTTGTATTCTGAGTTACTTATTCTATTAATTTGGATACAGATAGCTAGTATAGTGATCAGTATTTAAAATAAGTCAAAACTGAGCACTAGATTGTGCTATTTTAATATTTCTTTAAAATATTTATGCATTTTGGGAGAATCTGAATCAGTCTTATTTCATCAGAAACTAAGATATTCTGTGCAGTTTGTATTAAATGACTCAATTCTCCATAGTTTCACTTGAATTATACCATTTAATTTGAATTTCTGATTGTACATTATTTTTGAACCTGTCTATGTCATTTTTCATCATTATTGGATTATTTGTAATCTCTGATCATCATCATCGCTTTTGTATAAAAATTCAGTTGTGTCACACATATTTCTCTTTCGTGTTTATAAATTAAGGCAAGAAACTGCATTATTTGCTTTTAATTATTATTTCTAAACCTCATCTTTATCACTGTGGATGGAATTTATTTATAAAAGCACAAGTATTTGAAAGTAGTTTTTCAAACCATATTTCTACTGTTCTCTTGTATATTATGACATGGAAGGAGATATACCAAAGATGTGATGCCATGTCCTATGCTATGTCTTTTATTCTTTGTTTTATATGATTTGCATTATTTGTTGTAAATCATCTCAAAAGCATAAACATATTTAGATATTTGGTGTTTATAGAAATTATCTGCACGAATGTGTAAGATAAAACTCAACATTCCATTGTATCAATTTAAAAAACTGCTGTAACATTTGCCATAAGCGAAATTACTGGTGATTGCTGGCTAACATTCAAGAACCTGATGTTCTAAACACACCTCTAAAGTGCTATTGTCTGCGATCACATATTTCTACTGATGTGTTTACTGTTTTATGAAATATTTCTGGAACCTTTTGATGGCAATCTTTTTTCTGCCTTCTTTAGAAGTTTTTTTTTTTTTTTTTTTTTGCAGCAAAATTGCATGCTGCTTACATGTTGTGGAGGTGATGATTATGATGAATGAGAATTATTTCATACATGTGTTCTCCTTTTAATATGCCTGTTATCTGTGAGAAAATGTAAACTTTTCAGGATGTTAGTTGAGATGGAAAGCATAGATGTGCCTATTTTATT